TCAGTATCCTGCTAGTCGGCCCCCGCTGGCTCTCAAAATACCTGAACAATGTGATTGGATGCAGGCATTGTTCAGGTGTTTTGAGAGCCGGCGGGGCCAACTAGCAAGATAGTGAAGCTTGGCCCAGTGGGAGATTCCTCCTTCCACACAGTTTAGCGTAGAAGAAGGAATCTGTTGCACTTTTTCTGTTTGACCATTGAAAATCTGCAGATAATCTCTAGCTGTATGGCCAGTGTAAAGAAAAAAAAATACTGGACACCACTGCAGATCTTACAGGGTTTTACTGAAGTAATGGCTAAATGGCCACAAAACATGTAGAGGATCTCTCTGACCCCTTCCCTTCTTTGACATGTGGGTAACAGGATGCAAGATTTTGGGGTAATAGAATATCCTGGGAATCATCCTTATTTATTCTTCTCATTTGTATCTTTCCATTTTTCATTTGTATAGGTTGGGTTATACAGGTTAGTTTGGTTGGTAGTTCTTTATTTGTTAATCCAAAATTATCATGTCATGATACAAAAAGGGCAACAGTTTCGAACCGCATGCAGATTACATGAATTCTGGTCCTATAGCTGTCATTGGTCGGCTCCTAAAGCCCAGGAATAAGCTATTGAAGTGCGATGTGTACTTCAATAGCTTATTTAGAGTGTAAAGGTGATATTAGGGGTCTTTTGGACCCCCAGTGTCACCTTAAAGAGTACCAGTCACCACCAATCTGCTATCACAGTCACCACCAATCTGCTTGTAAGCCCACCTATGCGATAGCAATTAAAGTAAAAAAAAAACAAACACTTTCTAAAAATAAAATCAAATGAAATTATTGTAAAAATAATAAAGAACAAATTTAAAGTTCCATGCCCCCACGAGCACGCGCGTCATAACGTAAACATGCGTCTGGTGCGCGTACGTATGAAAACGATGATCAAGATACACATGTTGGGTATCACCGCGCACACCAGAGTGAGGGCAATAATTCTAGGCCAATATTTACACATATCTCCAAACTGATGACCACTAAGGGCTTCTACAGCATTGTCTATAGACTTTTTGGGGTACTGAATTTTGTTGCCGTTTTACAGATGCACACAATTTTTAACCTGGGTATGTTGGGTATCTATTTACTTGTTGTAACCTCATCTTTTATTGTTTATTTAAAAAAAATAGGATTTTAATGTGTTTTGGGACACTAAATTTAATGTAAGTGCATTTTTCACTAAATTTGTGGGTTTGATAATAAGTTGCACAAATATCAGGCAACCTTAAATTTTGCAACTGCCACCATTTTCTTTGTCCCAAGTTGAGATAAATCCCCACCTCCTTTAAAATTCCAGATACTCTACTGTCTGCTAAAGTTCTGGCATGACAGTTGAATGGCAGGGACAAGGCTTAGCACTTGGCAATGGGCCATAGATTTAAGGTGCCCCACAGGGATGCAGGTATTAATTTATCAGCATTGGTACTTGCAAGCCCCACATGGTCAGATTCACTTTACATGCATAGGTAAATTAAACAAATGTAAATTTGCACAATTTTCCACACTGCATAGCCAGATAGGTGACAAACCTAGTTCTTGGCTCAGTAATTTAGCTTCCTTTGTCAACTTTCTACTTTAAGGGCTGGAGCACATGTAGGCGTTTTATCGCACAAAACAGAGATCTGCATGCAATCAATTCGGCCTTTTCACAACTTTGCTTTGCGTCGCATGGCCCAAATCGCCTGTTGCGCAAAAAGGTGCAGGAGCTATTTTCAGGCGGTTGTCGCACGATTTTGGTCCGATGGACCTCTCTATACATTGAAAACCATGCAACAAGTGAAGGTTTTCAAAGCAAAATTGCACAAACAAAAGCGCGCGACAACAGCTCACCAGCGCAATCTCCTAGGTGTGAACCTAGCCTTATCATTGGACAGAGAACCAACACCATCATCTATTTCCACAGTGGGGAGAGTTAACCCAGGGAAAAGCAGAGAGACCTTACTAGTTAGCAGTGTGTATTACAAAAATGGCTGTCCATAATGGCAAATCCTTTGAAGGGTAAAACCGTAGAGATATCTTTTAACCGTGTTTTTAGTTGTTTGCCTGGAGTTCAGCTTTAACAGGCCCGAGACACCAGACGGTGGGAAGCTGAGCAAACTCTATCCTCCTTGCAAAACATTGTATATCAACACGCGCTTTTGTATTGGTCTGAAGTGCATGATTCGGTCTCTGGAAGGAGGAGCACTTAAGCCCTGGCTTCTCTCAGGTGTTGGGGGATTTGGGGTACAATCTGAATCAGGTGGAATAATCCATCCCAGCTGATCCCTTGGTCCCCCATGAGTGCTTCATATGGCTCAGTTAAGAGATATTAGGGAAGGCCTACAAGATTTTTGTGATCTTGAAACGTTGCAGTGGTTGAGCATTCTCTTATGGCTTCATGCACTTTGAGCTGTTTTCACTGGTTTTAACTGTATAATTACGACTTATTAATAATTTACTAGCAGATCACATAAATGTAGCCTTTAAAAGGACTGTAGATTGTCTTTTAATGTAAGCTTCGTAATCTTCGTTTATTACTTTTTTCTGTTTATGATCTGTACAGTCTCTGTTGCACTGCTGCGTTTTCTATTACTGCATAAAAAAAAAAATGTGTTTCTTTAGAGCTCCAAAGTTCATATAGGTGCAGTAAGAATTAGCAGAGCTGTCAGACTTGGCAAGCACTGTCTGATTTTATGGATATGACAGCAGAAATCTCAAAGTAAATGAAACACAAATAACCGCAATCTGTGGGAATGAAAAAGTTGAAAAAAGCCGCCTCAGCAGAATATAGTGAGATAGGCATCGTAAACTGATTAGCAGCACAGAGACTCAGAATACTCCTTTGTGCTCTGACAAAAGACAAGGCATTCTACAGAAAGTGTCACAGTGGTTCAGCTATCCCGCTGCTTAGAATTCCAGGCACTTCAAGCAGAAGAGGCTTCGCTGAATGTCTAGCAAGCAGCCACTCAAGGACACTGACTGAGGAACAGTTTTACAAAGAGCTGAAACACTGCATTGAAATGTATTGTAACGAGTGGCAAAAATACAACTAACCTTGTGTTTTTTCATACTTCTGTTTTCTGTTGGGAGGTTATGGGAAAAATTGCATTGGATAGACACATATAAAGACATACTCTTCAAGGGATATAAAATAACACAAACAAATGCAGTGATGCATTTTTAAAAACAATATATATATATATAATGGAAATAAACTTTTAAAGAAACATTGGGGGAAATGTATCAAAACTGGAACAGACAGAATCTGGAGGAGTTGCCCATGGAACCAATCTGCTTCTCTCTTCAGTCTGTTCAGTTAAGATTTGAAAATGAAAGAGAGAAGCTGATTGGTTGCCATGCATATCTGCTCCAGATTTGATGAATTCCCCTCATTGTATTTTTAAGTGACAGTGCCTATTTAAATGCAACTAGTTTAAGTACTTACATTTGTCTGATATCACTATCCTGTAACCCTTAGTACAGTAAAACAGTAGAAAGGCATCATGGCACACTCCCAAACCAGCATGTAAAACAACTTGTCTCACCACTAAGGTTAATAACAGAGGTTTGGATACACGTCTTCTGCAGAAAATGTGAAAGCCGCACAGCCACGCCAAGGCACCTCTTATAGTGCGGTCCTAACTCTAAACTATGAGAGTCTCCAACTTGGAGCACATAGGGGCAGAATATTTCAATACCTTACTGTTTAAGATTCTTCTGAGATGATTCAGAATTAATTGGCATGCATTTAAACTGCAGTTGACCTCCTTCTGATTTGACCTGCTTTAAGCAGGTTTTGCATTTCGCTAGACTTGCATTTGAATGCAAAACCCACTAGAAGCGAACAAAAGCCAGTCAACACAGGCCCTAATGGATCCCCGGATAACATTAAAACCAGGCAGGGGTTCTGAACCATACAACCCTATCAAAACTAAAAAAAAACAAACTTTTGGCTTGACATATACTTTAACTGGAAATACTGAACTTGGCCTGTCCTGACTGTTCTAAATATGTGATAGATATATCACCACCAGGTCAGCAATGGCGGACTACAAAAAGCAAACAGAGCTTCTAAAGCAATGCAGTAGACACCCTCTTCTAAACATGCTTTGACCTAAGAGGACTATAGTTACATATTTTGCCTTGATCACACTCTCTTACTTGGCCCATGTGTTTTGTTATTGGAAGTGGTAAATGGATAGTTAAAAAAAAATTCAAAAATGGACTAATGGGTAATAAAATCTATTTTTTTGTGGAGGTAAGGCAAGATTTAACAGCTATGCGTTTAAAACTTGGCCTATCCTTATGCTGCAAATTTTTGAGAAAAGAAAAATACTGTTGACAACTCCCTGATATTTTGTTATAACGGCTTTCTGTTTACACTAGGTGAGAAATTCTTCCACACTTCTCTTCAGCACGCTGATTACACGAATATTTGGAGTCAAAAGAGGAAAAGATGAACGCTCCAAGAAAAACAGGTAAGCAGCACTTAAAGCGAGCGTCACTTGTGAAAAACAATCTCTCGGCCAATACCAATTTGAGAACGTTGCGGGCCTTTCAAGGATTTACAGTATCTGCCGACTAATGTTACAAAAAAACCCTTCTACTTGTTCCTTGTCACTGACTTTTGCCAAACCTTAAAAACCTGGCCTTCTAAATGTGATCTGTTTAAATGTAACACAAAAAATATGGACAGGGCCAAACATATGAAATCAATCGCTGTTGATGTCCCTCGTCTGCAGCCTATTAGCACTGTATAAGCTTTAAAGCAATACAATTCCAGGGCAATGCTACAAAGTCTGTCGTTTCTGTGAATCTTTGGAAACTCAAATTTAAATCTTTTTTGTTATTTTTTAAAATATTTTTCTTAAGCTTTAGGGTATTGTTAAAGTTTCATTCCAGTCTAACATGTAAACTTTCCATTTTTAAAGCGGGTCTTCCATAAAAACCTGCCTGCTTTTTTGCCAGCCCGATGACCTCCAAACACAAAAGGCTTTAAAAAGCAATCGATGAAAGAAAAAATAAAACATTTCCCCCCTTGCCTAGAAAAAAATACAAAAATAAACATCTTGGCCCTGGCTTCCAGAAAGCATGGTGGCCATTGTTGGGTGGGGGCAGGGCAAAAAAAAAAACAGACCTTAAAAATTTAATAGAAGGTTCTTTAAAGTGTATGTATAGCCAAAACCGCTCTCCATTTGGGAGATTTCCCTTCACTTCCTGCCCTGGAGAAGCAACAAGAAGTAAGAGGACATCTTTGCCAAGAGAGGGTAATTGCCCTATTAGATGCCCATGCTGACAGAGCAGAGCCATGGGGCAGCTGGTAAGAATACCAACAATATTGTCTAGATCCACCCCGGCTGTCTAAATGACAGCTGTCTCTGCCCTTCTAGAGCCGCAGCTAACCGTGCCTGTCCCCTGCCCTGTCTGTCCCTCCAATGAGTGCTGGAGGAACAGACAGGGGAGTGGGGAATTTCTGCATTGTGCCATTACTGGCAGTCACACTGCTGTCTGCAGGGGGAAGAGAACGTGAGCTGAGCGATCACCGATTACATGAGCACTCAGCTCCCGGTATAAAGCTGGCGTGAGACAGCTGTAGATCCCCACAACAGCTCAAAGCTGCAAGTTTTGAAGTAATGGGATCAGCATAACCGCAGGCCATTTTGATTTTCAGCAACTGGCTACATAACTAATAAGTATTGGTGAGTATTCAGTAATATTGCAAACCTTGGTCCAGAACACTATGTAGGTAAATGTTTGCCAAGAATAAAGTATAACTTCACAACTTGTTTTTTTTTTTTTTTTAAATGGTGAAGGGTTGGCACTCCTGTCCTTTTTTTTTTTTGCTGTGTCCCTGTTATGGGAATTCACTCTTTTTAATTGTCCTGATCACCACTGTTGCAAGGAATGAAAGTGATGGGTGAATCCAACATTTTGAGTGCCCAACAAACAGGAATAGAAAGGAAATCTTCCAATGGGGACATTTGTTCACTTGACAACTGTCTAAAATGGTATTTCCCTCATGTTTGAAAGATATCCTCTAACTCCTGTTGGAAGGGAAATCTTAATGGGATGACAAAAAGAACTCTATCCAAAATGAAAGAAAAAAAAAAAACGGCTCTAATATACCTTAAAGCACAACATTAGTATAACATTTTCTACATATAAACACAAGACAGAGGATCTGTTCCTTACCTTTTGGCTGGAGTGGGGCTTTAATGTGTCATTAACAAAGACACTGTGGTAAGCAAGTGTCAAGGTGGAGAAGTCTGTCCTGCAGCTGCATGCTGGCAGCTTGCAGAGTGTTGGCAGTCTATGAAGATCATTTAAAAACTTTCAGAATTTCATTTTTTCAGATTTTCTTTTTCCAGTCATGCCTATTGTTTTATTGGCCAGCTAGTCACTGCAAATGTTGAGGTTTTTTTAAAATCTTTTATGAAGTTTGGTCATTTGTAATATATAACTCTGTATTGTGCAAGGCTGGAAATGAACCAGGTTTTGTAAGAAGTATATATAAGTATATCCTGCACATTATCTGTGAAAAACCTAACAAAAAGACATTCCTGATTTTTCCGCAGCCTCTGAGTAGACCCTAACTTAATTTTGTTAGTTTATTTTCATTCACACTAAACTATCGTTGCTGGTAGGGATTTTTCTGTATCGAGTAGCGGTATTTTTCCCGGTACTTGCCAATGCCGATATCGGCGACCCAAGGTACCGTGGGTTTGGCTTCCTGATTGCCTGGGAAGCTGGTGTTCTATCGAAAGAACACCGGCTCCTTGTTCCGCGGCACCCTGGCTTCCTGACCAATTAGGCATGTGATGACCCGCCTCCCGGCTTCCTGATAGGCTAGAAAGCTGCCTCCATGCTCCCTCATGGCACTGCCGGTCACAGGGAATCTCCCTCTGACCGGAATTTTTGGTATCAGGGTATTAGAGAATTTGGGTGAGTACGAGTACTCGCCCAAATACTCTGTATCTGCAACGTTACCAGTATCGTTATTGGTGCATCAGATTTTACATTTGCAGCCTATTAGAGTTGGCAGAGGAATGAAATTTGCCCTGGTGATAGTAAAGTGGACCATGAGAGAAACTAGCAAGTTGTCATTGCTGTATTCTACTTCTGAAAATGCTAAATGCCTGGCTTTCATCTTGCCATGTATAGATACTTCAATACTTTGAGTCACTAAACTGCAGCAGGCTTGAGACTGCCCTATTTGCATACTTCTTTTAAAAGATGAGAATGAAGGTGTTGCTCACTCCCACATAACATTCCCTGTTATTTTTACATTTTACATAATATATAATCCTCCATGGAAGAGTATTCTTATTAACCTTTATAATAACAGAAGCCAAACATAACTATTAATTATAATGGCATTATCTAATCACTGTTGTCCCCTGAAGTTATAAAAAGCCAGCAGGTAAATTAACTTGCAAGCAACCACTCAAAGCCCTAGTTGTTTAAGTTCTTGCTAAATTGGCCAAAATTTGATGTGTGTGTACCCAGACTTAGCCATTAAAGTCTGTATAAGGGATTTTTGTCTTTGTCATGGATTTTGGTATGACATAGTCCTCGGGGATCATCATCAAATATGTAAGTTTTCCCTTTGTGCTACAAACCCTGATGGGGGTAACCATTGTTGGGTTATTTTGTCAACCTGGGCTACCAGTTTTTCAGTCTGCTGACCTTTCAGTCTGCTGACCTGAACCTTTCTAAAATGTCTTTATGTACATTATGTAGCTTTTTTTTCCTTTAGGAAATCCACCCTAGTATATACAGTCAATCAGTGTTACATTCCAAAATGTTTTTTATCTAGTATTGCATAGAGTGGGATAGGGTTAGAACAATGGTGACAAAATTGTCATCTTTTTAGAAGATGAGGGCAAATACAAAATGTTATTGTTTTCACTGAGGACACTTGTTCCAGTGACAGGTGGCAATAGTTTGATTTTCACTCATTTTATAGAGAAGAGAAAGAAGAGCCCCCTCAAATACTGAGACAGGGAAAAAAACTACAGTTCCTAATCTTTCCATTTTCTATCTTAAAAAATACTTAATCATACGTTGTGGAGGTAAAAATTCTCAACCAAATTAAACTCTGACAACTCTACCCTTCAATAGAAAATTCTTTTTTTACAGACATATTATGAAACGAGACCCTACTACTGAAAGGTTCCAATAATTCTCAATTATCTTTTATTATGATATTGTAGTTTATCATCTGTAGGAGATATGCTATTCAATGGATGTAAAGATCCAAAGTTGGGTCACTAGTTTAGAAAAATATTTTGAATCCCTGACATACAGAAGTTGGGAGAAATGTGTTCCCCCGACCCATTTTTATATATGGATTGCCAATTTAAACACTTTTGAAGACACCCAACAATAATCTTCTAGGAAATGTGAGACCAGATTCTCTGTGCTGCCCTTTGAATGAAGTATTCTGCTGCTGATAAGAATGCACTGCCTTATGAAAGGCAAGCCTTCTCGCCACATAGTCTACTGACCATCCATGAAAGAATTTAGTGTTCAGGGGCTGAAAGGGCCATATTTGTTTCACTCCTGGATTGAAACGGCTCATATCTCATTGATTTTTATCACAATAAATAGCATAGCCCTCCTAAACTCTGAAAGGTCTAAAGCTTTTTAATTGGGTATTTCATGAAATTATGGTGTTTATGATCTGAGTTAGCCTCTAATAAGGTTCATGATGAGTTCAGAATAGAGGTTTTTGGCTTGTGAATGGTTGACTATAGTAGTCAATAGCTCGGATTGTTATTTGACATTGGCTTGATAAATCATAATCACTGTGTGTGTGTGTGTGTGTGTGTGTTTGTTTTAATAGTGTATAATAGACTCTATAGTTCTGTTCCACTGCATGTAATATGCATTTTATGTTGGCCTACATTTTTAAGAAAGTTGAGAATGGAAGGTGAAATAGAGTAGAAAGCACTTGTCCATCAGGCTATTTTCTAGCTAAAAGTGTTAACTCCAAAGTACCTAGTCCCTTATATATCCTCGTCCTTAAACCCTTTATTGTCTTAGAAAAGAAAATCTGTCATAGGGGAGCATTGGGGCTGCTATTGTTGAACTTTTGAAATGCAGGTTGTTTGGATGTCTTACTATTGAACACTTCCTGACTTCCAAAAACAAAGATTCAGCCAGTGTAGTCAGAACTGCAGGTATGCACTTGGGAGGCTCGTTGGTGACTAGACATAATAATGTTATCTTAATCAACCAATCCTGTTGTTCTTATTATGCCTTGCTCAGTCAGAATGAGCCATCCAAGTCCCTACTACTAACAGCTAAAAGCTCTTTTAATTTACCATTTCAGGGCCTCAGCATCAGACCTGAATGGTCATAAGCAGTTCTAACACATAAACAAAAACTGCTGCCTCTTCAGGAAACCTCCGGGGCCTGATGTAGGGGAGGACTTTGCTGGGGGGCGTTTGACCCATCTTTAGGCCAGTCTTAATAA